CAAATGGGAGCCACTGGGGGGACACTGGGAGGGTGACTGGGGTACTGGTCAGGGACAACTGGGGCACACTTGAGAGGACAGAGGCACCGGCTGGGGAGGCAACTGGGGATCCTGGGAATGGGACCGACACAGCAGTCAGAGGGCAACTGGGCAGGCACACCGGGAGAAGCGGGAGGGAGGCTGGGACACCAGTATGGGGTCACGGGGAAGGCACTGGGCGCAGGATGGGGATACAGGGGCTGCGGGCACCGGGGGCACCAGGCTGGTGCCGCGGCCCGGGGCGGCTCGTACCTGACGGGCTCGATCCCGAACTCGTCAGGCGCGATGAGCTTCCAGGAACCGGCGAGGAACTCCCGGCACCAGGCGAAGGCGCGCAGGCGGGTGGCGGCGGGCACGGCGGCGGGCTCGGGCACGGGCACGGGCACGGGTACAGCCCCAGCCTCGGTGCTGGGTACGGGCACGGGCACGGGCACGGCCCCGACCCCGACACCGCCGCTGCACTCCCGTCCCGCCGCCATGGCCGCCGCGTCCGCCGGGCGGGCCGAGGGGCGGAGCGGAGCGCCTGTCTGGCCAATGGTAAAGCGCTTCCGGCGGTGACGTTGCCGAGCGCCGCCAATGGGCTGCCGCGGCAGGGCGGCCGCAGGAGGGGGGAGCGGAGGCGAGGCAAGGCCGCGGCGTGGCCGGGGTCGGGATCGGGATCGGGATCGGGATCGGGACCGGGATCGGGACCGGGATCGGGATCGGGATCGGGATCGGGATCGGGACCGGGATCGGGATCGGGACCGGGATCGGGATCGGGATCGGGACCGGGATCGGGATCGGGATCGGGACCGGGGTCGATGAGCTTTCAGGTCCCGGCCAGCCCAGTCCATTCCATGATGCTGTGATCCTCAATCCCGCTGCAGGAAGGGACAGGCTGGGCAGGGGTTGCAGCGGGGGCTGCGGGGCAGGCGGTGTCGGGCCTGGCGGGAGGGGCCCGGCTCTGCCCCCAGCGCGGAGCGGCGCTCAGCGCCCTGGATGGTTCCACCCCGGTGAAACCGCTCTGGACTCCTGCAGTAAGGTTTGTGTCACCCATGGCGCGCACCAAGGCTTCCCAGCCAGCTGCTGGGTGATGAGAGCCACCCAGTGCCACCCAGTCGGGTGCCCGAGGGATGGGGTGCTGGCCATGGAGCGGGAGGAGCTGATAACCCCAGCCTGGGTTGGGTTGAAGGGACCTTAAAGCTCCTCCAGCTCCAACCCCAACCCCTTCCACTGGAGCAGCTTGCTCCAAGCCCCTGTGTCCAACCTGGCCTTGAGCACTGCCAGGGATGGGGCAGCCACAGCTTCTCTGGGCACCCTGTGCCAGCGCCTCAGCACCCTCACAGGGAAGAGCTCCTGCCTAATCTCCAACCTGAACCTCCCCTGTTTCAGTCTGAACCCATCACCCCTTGTCCCATCACTGCACTCTGGGATCAAGAGCCCCTCTGCAGCATCCCTGCAGCCCCCTTCAGGCCCTGGAAGCGGCTCTGAGGGCTCCGCGCAGCTCCTCCTCTCCAGGGGATCCCAGAACTCCCGTCCATTGTGGTACCAGGGACAAGGAGCCGGTGCCAAGCGCTGCCGCTGCTGCGGGGCTGCAGAGCCTCGTGTCCCTGTGAGAGGCGCCCGTGTCCCGCAGGATCCGGTCCCGTGTCCCGTGTGTGTGAACGGGGCCGTGCAGCAGACACCGGGTGAGAGCGGGACCGGCAGCAGGGGTGGGAGCCAATCGGTACCCATGGGGTGGGATGGGACCCGTGAGCCCTCATGGGATGGGATGGGATGGGAACCCCATGATCCCTGATGGGATGGGATGGGATAGGGCTCCCATGATCCCTCATGGGATGGGATGGGACCCGTAATCCCTCATGGGACAGGATGGGATGGGATGGGAACCCCATGATCCCTCATGGGATGGGATGGGATGGGATAGGGCTCCCATGATCCCTCATGGGATGGGATGGGATGGGATGGGACCCGTGATCCCTCATGGGATAGGATGGGATGGGATGGGAACCCCATGATCCCTCATGGGATGGGATGGGATGGGATAGGGCTCCCATGATCCCTCATGGGATGGGATGGGATGGGATGGGACCCGTGATCCCTCATGGGATAGGATGGGATGGGATGGGAACCCCATGATCCCTCATGGGATGGGATGGGATGGGATAGGGCTCCCATGATCCCTCATGGGATGGGATGGGATAGGGCTCCCATGATCCCTCATGGGATGGGATGGGATGGGATAGGGCTCCCATGATCCCTCATGGGATGGGATGGGATGGGACCCCATGACCTCGATGACCCTCCATGACCTCCACAACTGCCCTGCCCCCCATCACCCCAATGACCCCGGATGACCTCGTGCCCCCATCTCCCCATTGCGGGCCCGTGTGCGGAGGCGCCGCCAGGGGGCGCGGAGCGCAGGTGCGCGCGGCTCCAGCAGGGGGCGCTCCGCCGGTCAGCCCGCCGCCAGGGGCGCTGCCGCGCATGATGCCTCCCCCATTCAAGGATGCGCCCGCCCAGACAAGCCCCGCCCAGCGACTTCCGGTTCCGGGTGCAGTTACCGGGAAGCAGGGGCGGTGGCGGCGGGTACCGGTGGCGGCTCTTGGGGGGCCCCCCACAGCCTCCAGCACCCGCAGCGGCCCCCAGGCACCTGCCGCGGTTTGGGCACCAGCGCTTCCAAGCACAGGGAGCTGCAGGAGCGGGGAACTGCAGGGGGACAGCGGAAGTGAGGGCACATGGGGACTTGGGGAGAGACAGGGCTGAGCTCACTGCTCTAAACCAGAGAACAAGGTTTTACTGAGGGACAGGGCTGAGCTCACTGCTCTGAACCAGAGAACAAGGTTTTACTGAGGGACAGGGCTGAGCTCACTGCTCTGAACCAGAGAACAAGGTTTTACTGAGGGACAGGGCTGAGCTCACTGCTCTAAACCAGAGAACAAGGTTTTACTGAGGGACAGGGCTGAGCTCACTGCTCTGAACCAGAGAACAAGGTTTTACTGAGGGACAGGGCTGAGCTCACTGCTCTGAACCAGAGAACAAGGTTTTACTGAGGGACAGGGCTGAGCTCACTGCTCTAAACCAGAGAACAAGGTTTTACTGAGGGACAGGGCTGAGCCACTCACTGCTCTGAACCAGAGAACAAGGTTTTACTGAGGGACAGGGCTGAGCTCACTGCTCTGAACCAGAGAACAAGGTTTTACTGAGGGACAGGGCTGAGCTCACTGCTCTAAACCAGAGAACAAGGTTTTACTGAGGGACAGGGCTGAGCTCACTGCTCTAAACCAGAGAACAAGGTTTTACTGAGGGACAGGGCTGAGCTCACTGCTCTAAACCAGAGAACAAGGTTTTACTGAGGGACAGGGCTGAGCTCACTGCTCTGAACCAGAGAACAAGGTTTTACTGAGGGACAGGGCTGAGCTCACTGCTCTAAACCAGAGAACAAGGTTTTACTGAGGGACAGGGCTGAGCTCACTGCTCTAAACCAGAGAACAAGGTTTTACTGAGGGACAGGGCTGAGCTCACTGCTCTAAACCAGAGAACAAGGTTTTACTGAGGGACAGGGCTGAGCTCACTGCTCTGAACCAGAGAACAAGGTTTTACTGAGGGACAGGGCTGAGCTCACTGCTCTGAACCAGAGAACAAGGTTTTACTGAGGGACAGGGCTGAGCTCACTGCTCTGAACCAGAGAACAAGGTTTTACTGAGGGACAGGGCTGAGCTCACTGCTCTGAACCAGAGAACAAGGTTTTACTGAGGGACAGGGCTGAGCTCACTGCTCTGAACCAAGAACAAGGTTTTACTGAGGGACAGGGCTGAGCTCACTGCTCTAAACCAGAGAACAAGGTTTTACTGAGGGACAGGGCTGAGCTCACTGCTCTAAACCAGAGAACAAGGTTTTACTGAGGGACAGGGCTGAGCTCACTGCTCTGAACCAGAGAACAAGGTTTTACTGAGGGACAGGGCTGAGCTCACTGCTCTAAACCAGAGAACAAGGTTTTACTGCTCTTTGAAAGCTAAAGATACTTTAGCGGACTGGTGTGAAACAATGAACTCATGTTTGGTGGGGCCACTGCATTCCACAGACGTACAACACAAACATTGTTCTCTTTCTGCCACCTAACTTAAGCTAAAAAGTACTTTATGTTTTCCAGGCACTGGCTTTCCTTATATCAAGCCCCCTTTTACCTTTCCAAATCCTTTTGCTATGTGACTCCGTTTTGATCAAGAGATCTGAACCTTTGTAACTTGTCTAATCTTGTGTCTTTAGCGAGCTTTGTTTCTGTTATCACAGAATCCCAGAATCCCAAGGGTTGGGAGGGACCTCAGGAGATCATCTGGTCCAACCCCCCGCAAGAGCAGGGTAACCCAGAGTACATCACACAGGAACTTGTCCAGGCGGGCCTTGAATAGCTCCAATGTGGGAGACTCCACAGCCCCCCTGGACAGCCTGTTCCAGTGCTCTGGCACTCGCACAGTAAAGAAGTTCCTCCTGATGTTAATGTGGAACCTTCTGTGCTCCAGTTTACACCCATTGCCCCTTGTCCTAGCACTGGGCATCACTGAAAAAACCCTAGCTCCATCACCCTGACACCCACCCATTGCATATTTGTGAACACTGATGAGGTCACCCCTCAGCTCTATCCACGTAACCACACCTGTGGTTTGCAAAAGCCAATGCATTTATGTGTTTATCCCAGCACGGACACAGACAGAGGGACAGGGACATGGCCAACGATGGACAGGCAGAGGGACAGGGGGTGCAATCCCCCCCCCCCGGGGCCATGCACTCACTAGGGGCTCCTTCCTCCAGCTCCTCCAGGGCCTCAATGTCCTCGTGCTCCCCAGAGTAACCTATGGGGAGGGAATGTGCTCAGTGACACAGCGGGACGGGGCCCCCCATAGCGGTGGGATAGGGACTGGGGGGTCTGGGGGTGCAGCACCTTCTCCATTGTCCTCAGTCCCTTGCTCCTCCTCCATCAGCTCCGGCTCCTCCTCGGCCTGCAGTGGCTCCTGCAGGGAACAGGCCTGAGCCCGCACCCCGGGGGTACAGGGGGGGGTCCCCAGCCCAACACCCCCCCTCCTCCAGCCCCACTCACCCTGGGCTGCAGCTTCCTCTGCGCTGCCACCCGCTCCTTCATCTGCTTCCAGTAGAGCACCTCCAGGTCTGCAGTGGGACGGGCGCAGGGCAGCACCTCTGCACCCTGGGGGGGGGTCCAGCCCCTCCAGCTCCCCCCATCAAGGCACGGGGTGGCCACTGGTGCCATCCCAGGCTCCACTCACAGTTGTGGGGTGCAGGGTCCCCTCTGCCCTGGGTCTGTCCCCCCAAGGGCACAGTGCAGGGGCTGGGGGGCCGAGAGCCCCAGGCAGGACACGGAGCATCTCCCCCAGCCCCACCACTCACCCGCAGAGGTCGGGCCGTTCCTCTTGGCTCTCCTGCCGTCCGAGACGTTGGCGTCCGGGGGAACCAGAGGGGTGAAGCTCCCAAAGGTGTTCTCACAGGGGAACACATAACTGGGGCAAAACCTGAATAATCCTGACAGACACAGCACGGCCGTGAGAGGCCCGAGCAAGGTTAAGCAAGCAAGGTAAGAAGAAGCTGGAATTCACTGAGTTAATGAGAACTGTGGGCTGTTGGCAAGCTTTCGAGGTCAAGTTCTCACACCTGTGCTTAACCAATTGTGTGTTAGTCGCTAAGGGTCCTCAAGACATGTATCCAATCATCATATGCCAAATCACTGTAAGTGCCTGTAAGAAATGGTATCTAAGGAGTTAAAGCTTTGTAATAAATAGGCATTCGCTGATCACGTTGATGGTTCCTGCGTTGTCCGTGACTCCCGCGTCGACAAACGGCGCCCGAGCAGGGACCCTCAGATCAGGAACTTGTGGCATCACGTTTGAAGGTCCCATCAAAGAAGAGGGGGCGGAGAGCCGGCCCAAAGTCAGCGCTGCCCCGGCGCTGTGGAAGTCAGAGGTCTGCAAACAGTGGAGTAACCGTGGGACCTCGCCCTGATCAGGTGGGCGGCCGGGGAGGAGAGGGGGCACTTGCCTTCTAAAGAGGAACAGGCAGTGATGGAGCTCCTCCACATAATTCTCTCTAAGAGAGGACTGCAGCATGATAGTGCCGCCTCACAGAGGCTGTTAAAGTGGGCCTGGGATAGGGGCTTTATCCCCACAGAGCAAGCCACCTTTGAAGTTTCTGAATGGGAACGTATAGGTCAGGCGTTGTGGGATGAGATTAGTAAAGGGACAAAGGAAGCCCTGAAGTATTCGTTATGGAGATTGATAATTGAGACTTTAAAGGAAATGAGATCAGAACAGGCAGCAGTGGCATCTGTTTTCCTGGCCACTGCTCCTTCACAAAGTCACTCAGAGGTAGAGAAGAGTGCTACCTCCATGGTATTTGCCCTCCCCGTTGTGCCTAGCACGGCACCGCAGAAGCCTCCTCGGTGTAAGGGGGAAGATAAAGTGAAACAGCGCTTGCATCCGAAAGTACAAGTAGAAAGTGCAAACGCGGTCACCTTCGACCTAGAGGAAGAAGACCCCGAATCGGAACTGGAACCAGACCCAGAGTCTCCAGCAGAACCGGACTTGTACCCTCCCCTTCCTTATCCTGACTCAGACTCAGGCGGTTCAGACAGTTCAGTTCATCGGCAGATGCGAACCAGCCTTAGTGACGGTCACCTGCAACAGCTGCTGAAGAAATTAGAGTATTGGAGACAGAAGAAACCTCCGAACCCTCTGCCCCACCCTCCTACAGTGCAGTAGTAAAGAAAGGGGAATGGGAGGGGGGTGTTGGGCACGGGGTAGGGGATTACAGTAATAACCCTGCTAAACGTTATCATCAAAGATGCAATTGTTATGGGGGAATTTTCAGCTATGGGTCCCTGGGCGTTCCCGGTGTTTAACACTCCACAGGGGGGAAAGGAGTGGGAGGCATCGGATTTAAAGGCAGTAAAGGAGGCGCATCAACCGGTAACATCCTATGGGTTAAAATCATCGTATACTCAGGCAATTATCACACATATTTTCTCTGCATATACCCTAGCACCATAGGATATCTGTATGACAGCTCAGTTGTTGCTTGCTCCCCACCTTCAGATATGATTTAAAGTGAGCACAGCAGAGGAAAAGGCTGGATCCATGGCTTCTGCCTTTGGTGCTGCTGTTAAACCCCTTCTACAATCAGGTTAGGGCGATCGTGGGGGTGCTAAAGGTATGAGATGTTATAATTGCGGATGGACGGGACATTGTAAACAGAAACAGTGTACTGTAAAGAAAATAAGTCCAGCAGCCCCCCCCCCGGTGGGGTTACTGGTTTTGCAGATAAATGTATTAGATATGACAGATTTGGACACAAGACAATTGAACATCATTGCTTTGCGACCTAGCTTGCCTAGCCCTTTAATGATACCTCAGGGTTGGGATTTAATAGTAATTGGTTTAAAAGGCTGGTTTTTCACAATTCCTCTACACCCAAGTGATTGTGAACATTTTGCTTTCTCTGTCCCAGCTATTAACAAAGGAGAGCCTGTTAAGAGATATGAATGGGTTGTTTTACTTCAAGGTAGGAAAAATTCTCCTGTTATTTGTCATCTGTATGCTGCCTGAGTATTGCAACCGATCCGATAAAAACTGCAAAACCGTGTTATCACTATATGGATGATATCCTAATTGCAGGCAAGGATTTAAACAAGGACCATCTGCTCTACCTGCTACAGTCAGAATTAGCGAAAGCAGGACTGGTAATTGCACCAGACAGAGAGCAGCGTGAAGCCCCTGGAAACATCTCGGGGGCATCATTTCTGGAACTGAAATTAGGCCTCAGAAAGTTAAAATTACCACACAGAAAAAAAAACCCCACTTTGTCTGACGTACAGAAATTGATGGGTGATGTTCAATAGATCTGCCCTTTGTGTGGAATCACAAATGATGATCTGACTGATCCCATGCCCCTTCTAAAGGGTGAGTCAAAAAAAACCAAAACAAAAAACCACAAAAAAACCCCAAAAAACTCAAACCAAAGTTCTATTAAAAGCTCAGAATGAGGCCTCAGATCACATCATGACAAAAATCACCACCTCTTATGCTGCTCAATGGAATCCAGATTTACAGGTTATTGAGTATTATCCATTTAGTCTACTAACACAGTGGGATCTTCAAAAGACTGATTCTTTATGCATTTTAGAATGGGTTTTCCTACGTAAAACTGTAACTACTGTAACTACTCGGTTAGAAGTATTTGCTCTTTTGATTATATGAGGTTGTTCACGTTGCCAGGAAATTATGGGCTGTGATCCATCACAGATTTGTTTGCCACTTACCAGGGTATGGTTAGACTGGGCACAACAATCTAGCTCTGCTGTTCAGTTTGCTCTGATAGGTTTTCTTGGTCCTCTTAATATACATTTTCCACCTCATAATATGTTTACAATGCTAAAGAATAATGAGTTTGAAGATGTTCCCTTTTATCCTAGTAAACCTGTTGTAGGATTAACTGTCTTTCCAGATGCAAGCAGAATCAATCACACAGGCAGATATGTTTGACAAACAGACGATGGTTGGAAAGAGCAGAAGATATTTGGCCATTTTTCCAATTTGCTACAAACACTAGAGCTAAGTGCTGTTATTGCAGTATTTCAACGATGGCCTGACACCCCTCTTAGCACTGTCTGCGATTCTTTATATGTTGTAAGCATTGTTTAACGTATAGAAAGGGCAATTTTACAAGAAGTCACTAATCACAGGTTGTGGATCTTGTTAAATTTACCTCATTATATCTTGTGAATAATTGTAAAATAAAATAAAGTGGAATTTTAGTGGATACAGGAGCAACTTATTTGGTGTTAAATCAGAGAGAAAAGAATTCGTTACAGATGTGGGAGCTACTGGCCACCAAGGAAAAGAGAAAAAAAAAAAAGAAAAAAAAAAAAAGGAAAAAGGCATTCTTTTTGGAACCTTTAAAGTACAAATTGGGAAAACAAATAGGAATGCATAAACTCTTATGCATGCCAAATTCTCTAAAATCTTTGTTAGGGCAAGAAGCAACATTTAAAGAAGGCAAAATGGAATTCAGAGTTAAAAACAATTAATTGCAGTTTTCAGTTTAATTCAACAGAAAAGCAAAAAGGAGGACCTCCCTGAAACGGAAGAAATCCTTAATCAGGTGTATGTGGGAGTATGGGCATCGAAGTTCCAGGTAAGGCGAAAAATGCTTTGCCTGTTAAAGTGGAAATAAAAAGGGGGGCCTACCCAATTAGAATAAAACAGTATCCCTTAAAATTAGAAGATCAAAGGGAATAAAAAAAAATTGATAAATTTTAAAATATAGATTATTAATTGAATGTGAATTGGAATATAATACTCCTATCTGGATAGTAAGGAAATATGATGAGAAAAGTTGTAGATTGGTTCATGATCTCAGGGCAATCAACAAAATTGCAGAGGATATTCATCCAGTAGTAGTTAATTCGTACGACTGATTGACTAAATTGAATAATAATCAGAAATGGTTTGCCGTCCTGGATTTAAAAGACACTTTCTTTTGCTTACCATTGGCCAAAGAAAGCCACAATTATTGGCTTTCAAATGGGAAAATCCTGACAGAGGAAGGGAAACTCAATTAACTTGGACAGTTTACCTAAAGGGTTAAAAAACCAGTCCGGCAATTTTTGGAAATCAGCTCGCATGAGAACTAGAATCGTGGCAGCCACCTGCTCAGACGGGGACTCTGTTACAACACGTGCGTGACCTGTTAACTGCTACAGAAACAAAGGAAGAATGGATCCAGTGGGCAGTGGAATTGTTAAATTTTCTGGGACTGAACGGTTATCAGGTACCCAGACAAGGCCCAACTAACCCAAACCCGAGTTTCCTGATAGCGGAATAGACTCCACAACTTGGTTAAAGTTGTAAAGTAGGTATACTTTATTCAGCTGAAGACGCACGGGGGATTGGTCCTCCAATAGTCATGCATGCCTCAGTGCCGTTTTTCTTCTACATTTATCGTGTAAAGTCATACATATTCATATTCTATCCCCGCTTCATATTATAATGAGCTAAAAGGCTCTCCACGCATGCACAGTGCCTCCTGGTGGTCTTGGGCAGGGGTCTTCAGATGAAGTAAACGAGTCTTCCTCACGCTTGAACTTTTTACCTCTGGTCCTCACACATGCTCTTTAGGAGCTGGATGGGTCTGGTCCATGTCTAGCTGGTTTAATGAGCTATTCCCTTTGCAAGGAAGCCTTATCTTAGTACTGTCTGATAAGGCAACAGCTGGGCTTGTCAAGCCAGCCATGATTTAAGCAGTACTCCTTGTACAACCCCCATTCTCCTCACTAGGAGGTTTTGTTCTGGTATTTGTCCGATAAGACATCTGCTGAGCTCATTAAACCAGCTATGACTTAACCAGTACCCCCCCTGTACATTTTGACAACCCCCCTGTACATTTTATCTAACCCCCTT